AATGTGCAGAACAAGCGGAAGAGGAATAATTTATTGAAAGTCACGGATACTTCTAGCAACATACGCTCTTGTTCACTGCGGATGATGGGGCATGTCAACGGTTGAGCGGGGGAAATGGGCTTGGCGCGACGCCAGCCCGTTTTTTGTTTTTTTGGCAAGCCGCAAGACTGTATCATATCGTTAGTATCAGTCTTGCACCACTTATTGTCGTTTACCCGCTTCAACGACTGATGGGGAACGGGCTCGCCGCGCGCCAATCTCAGCCTGACTGAAACGCCCCTTCATTTGCAGCGAACAAGACATTACATGCGGGTGGTTTTATAGGGAACAATATCGTCCTCTAATATTTCAAAGTGAACATTAGATTCTTGTAAAGTGAAGATTTTGAAATGTTTGAAGTTTCATTTTAAGTCTGACGACGTGACAAAGATATCGACGGCTAGTGGAGAGGACAACATCATCGATACTCCTACGAGAGTCTCTCCGGTTTTATTTGAGTGCAACACACCGTCTTGTATTGAGAAAAAGAAGGATCTGATGCAGGAGAACAGCCGACTGCTTGAACAAGTGAGTTTCTCGTTGAAAAGTGGGGCAAGTGGGACAATAGGAAAGTGTGACGGATCGAGGTGAAAAACTTCTTGCCATGGGCTCATGCAGGACGATGGGGTGTAGCCAAACAAGCTTGCGCTGCATTTTATTTCAAGGGTCTTGTTGCAGGTGGAAGAGGTCAACACACGGATTCATGAGCTGGAAGATGATGTAACAGCTTTACGGCACGATCTTGAGAATGTTGAGGATCACCGGTATTCTTATTTCTCTTTTCATATAAGTTACAGTCCATACCCTGAAAATGGGGTAGGCGTTCCCGCGATTCAGTTGAGAGCATACGTTACAATACGTTGCCGATTCAGTCAGGCGTGCACAAAGCGCGCAAATCAAAAAACTGACATCTCCGCATAATCCGACAAAAAGCGACAAATGCGCGCAGAAAAGCAGCCGCGCCCGCAGCTACGTGAGCACGCCTTTCCCATCTTCGGGATATAGAGTGTTCCTTCCAAACTACCCACTTACTCTTATTGAGTGATTGTTAGTTTTTTTCCAAAAGTACATGGATTACAGTGATCGTCTGAAACAACAGCTGGACGTTGCCACGAGAGAAAGGGATTCGAAAGTCGCTGAGGTCGCTGCATGTGATATTGTTATCACGCGACATCAGGTACAGTCTTTATCCCTGAAAACGAGGGGCATGTATTGGAGCGCGGCCATGGCGGCCTTCTGCACCAATTGGCGTCATCCTGAGCTCGCAGCAAATGGTGAATAAAAATGTCCTAGCTGCGCTTCAATCCACGCCTCCGGACTTGAA